CTCTGAGAAGATAATTCTGTGTGGTTAGAGAGGGGTGGTGAGGTGGATTCTACGGTGTCTCTCAAAGGGTTGGGTATAATTGCTGCTTGCAATGTCCTATTGTTTATTCCACAATTAGACTCAGTGAGATAATTATATACGCGCCTTTCTATGACGGTCTTGTCCACCGCAACCTTTATTAGTTTGTAATTTCTGGCTTGCGATAGGGTGTGTTGGGAGTGGGTAAATTTTCTGGCCTCAGCCGGTGTTTCGAACTGAAAACGAATAGGACAACACTTGTCATGTTGACTCTTCTTCAGCCTGTAGCACTTAGTCTTGGAGTTGGGCATTTTCGCCTCACTAAGTAGGATGTGCTGTACCTTTTTTAGTGCCTCATTATCCGGAACGTTGTAGACAATAGCATTTAGTTTAGCGTCGAGTCGTTTTGTTACTTCTGTAGTAACAAAGTTAATTAGGTTATCCACCTTAGATATCGATTCATTGTCAAGTTTGTTAAGGTCTACAATTCTCATGAGGATAGTTAAAGGTGTCAGTTCACAGACCTGCGATCTGATATCACTGATCTGACCTGATAAATTGGAGATTTTGGTATTGGTTTCAGAAATTCCAGGATCTACTGCCTTATTGTTTTTTAAGTCCCTTAACTCGGCCTTAAGTTCTCCTATAGACAACTTTAGAAGTTCTATTTCTGAAGATAGTATTGAAACAGAGCTTGAAGGCTGGAGCTTTTCGATAAGCACATAAGGTGTAGGGAGGGTTTCTGTATGAGCAGAGGGTACTGAATTTTTGGGAGTAGTGCTAATACTAGCTGTCAGTATAGTTTTATCCTCAGTTTCAGCTCGACGCTTACGACATACAAGTGAGTTTTGTGGCTCACTATAACCATTTGTAGGAAGTATGTTGCTTGATGTAGCAATCAACGACTTAAAATTAGTCATCAGTTTTACAGGGGATTGAGTTCGCTGCTTTTTACTTTGGTTAACCATAACTATTTGATATGAGAGTTAATAGTTATAGGTATGGAAGTAGTAGAGGACTTGTGCAAGGATTACAACAAGATAAATTTTATGTAACGAATCACGCAAAAATGTAACGCAAACGTTGGACGTACCGCCAATGTTTATTGGTTTCATCATCTAGTTTGATCTCTTCCCGGATAAAGACTTGGTTGACTGATATATTGTCTTGATGTTTCTTTTGTCTGCGGCCTGTCCTCCTTCAGTTGCCAGTGTGTCGTATAATTGTCTTTTGTCTTTTCTAGGACTCTTCACTGCTTTATTCGGTGCACTGTACACTGAACCCGGCTTCTCTCTCTGTTGTCCATCTTTGCATTAAGTCATCTCTTTCACCGTCCTTCTATCCTCGATTAGCTTCCAGCTATCGGTTGACAACAATTCCTTGTTGTGATTCTTCTTTCTTTCTGGGACAGTTGTACACGTTTCGTTAAAATCGCTTTCAGACAGTTCCAATGTTCTTCCACACAGGTGTCCTAGGTGACATCACGTAGTGTCTCCAACTCTTCTATGATGTGATCTGTAATGAAGGCATCCTTTGTACTCTTTCCTTCGGTTGAGTTTCTGAATGTTAAATTTGAAATGTGGTCTGTCCCCATTTTTTCATGGATTTGGATGCAAGCACTGGAAGCATATGATCCTGACTCTCCTCTTGAACAGTTAGCGTGCGTCGCTGACTGGAACAAACACAACTAACACATGCAGACGAGGCAGGTCACCTAGTAGAGCAGACTGTTGGACAAAGAGTGGGCTCAAACAAAATATATCGGCGTCACTGGAGGTTCCCTGTACAGTTAACGAAATCCGCCCATCCATAGGCTTGGCCTAAACTACTTCACAAGCAATAAGGAAAAGATTAAATCCTCAGGTAATGACTACTGAGAAATGGTGCTCGGACAGTTGCTTATTCCACCTCAAGGATAAAACCCGGCAACAGTCTTCTTGACTGATACAGGGGATGCACTCGGTGTCCTACCCAAAACGGGGGTGGAAGCAGGACGACAAATTTCCTCATCACCCTACAGGCCACCACTAATGCCCAAATCCCAACGTTCGCGCAGAACAACCATGCAGCAACAAAAGGCGGCTGACCTCGGCACAGTTATACAAATCTGCCTGGCAATAACCAATAATTATTTGCATCAAGTGCAATTCATTGCTGGTGTTACTTACGATGAAAATGCTGAAAAGATTATAGGGGTGTGTCACTTAATTATAATTATTACCAAATTTGGATATAAATCAAGAATAAGATTCGATGCCGCACACACCAAAATTATATGGGGTGAATGCCTTCAGGCTTTATTTTTTCCCAAGTATCTATAATCCATCCAACACACACTTGGATTTTTGTTAATGCGAAGACAATATTTCTATATTTCTTGATGTGCTCCATTGAATGATTATTTATCATATTGTTCCCACAAACTAAAGAAAAAAGAGACAGCAACAATGTAACTTCGCCTTTAAGGTAAATTTATGCAATTTAAACAATACTTATCCATGCCTGTAGAACTGGTGTGTCCTTCATAGGTAGGAATAAACGTGTACCTTATTATAACATCATTATAATATATGCTTACTAATCGTATGTGTAATTTGCTGAATTGGTGTTGCCTGTATATTATTATTATTTCACTGGCATTACCCTGGGTGAAATTGGTTGTCACTGCATTAGGGCTCTAGCTGCCGCTGGTGACATCCTAATAGTCACTCAGTGCCTCAGTGTGCTTGGGGTTGTCGTCTGGGTGACCAGACAGGAGTATATTGCTGACTCTCCTGTTGACCATTTGGGTAATCTATATCCATTCCATACGCTCCCGCAGATACCTAGCACTCCTAAGGCATATCTCCGCATCTCTTTGGCTGCTTGGGCAGCCTTCCCGGCCGGCTTCGCACATTGTACGAACATTCCACGTCCCCATTCTTATTCTTGCTCTCAGCGAGAGAAGGCACATCGGTTGGCTGACCGGCTTCCCGCAGGCTTTCATCAGAGCGCGTCATTTCGCCTCTACAATTGTAGCGAATAATAAGATTGTTGTCATTTGAATTTTCTACACTTTTAGTATGTTTTCTGTGAGTTGAAGTTTCTCTAGCGGTTTCAAAGATTTATTGATGTGGGGATGCTAGCCATACGCCCAACCCTCCCTCTTTACCCGGGCTTGGGACCGGCTAGAAAACTAGCGAGCTAGTTAACTAAGCGAGGTTGAAACACATACTGGCCGACATAATTTTCAAGGGACAAGAGCTCGACAGGTTCTTTGTGGTGTGATTATACATTTGCATACTCTTTCCAAGTCATCGTCAATAAATATATCTCTCAGCAGTCGAGTGTTACATTCTCCCTCCCTGACCATCAGGTTAGGTGGGTCAGTATAGTGGCTAGCACTCAGGTCTAGCAAGATTGAAAACCACACATCAATCGTGAGCGTTAGGAGTTCTTAGAAGTTAAGAACAAAGCGTGCGAAATTCTGGATGACGTAATTAATGAGGGATATTTCCTAGTTGATTTAAGCCTATTTTTACGGAGTACTTGTGGGTAGATGGCAAACGTTCGGCACAAATTCACTAGGAATATTTAGTGGTTTTAGCAACGGATTACAGAGTGATTCTGAAATAATGCTTTACGTGCTGAAATCGACCAGACTTATTTATATTATATATGTTCGTATTTCACACGGTGTAGGACTGAATGTATGTAGAAATTTTAAACGCAGAGGTTAAGTTTCATATCCCGAATTGCCATTAATCTAGATATGTTTGGTCGTCCCAGTCGACGTCATTTGGTGTGTTACTTAGGTAATCACTGAGGAACACCTATTTTCACTTGTTGTCAAAATGTTTGAAGATAAAACTACAATCGTTCTGCCTATCTCCTCTGGCTCTCTTGGCTGGACAGATTTCGAGACTACGTATGTGGACTTTACATTGAGCATGGCTAATATACTTTGCTCTACAGGAACAAAGAAACGAATAAAAACAGATCATGTTGTCCAAAAGTGGCATCTCTTCCTGAAGGCTTGATTGGATAAACTGCCTACTAGGGAACATGATTCGCTAGGTGTCTGCTCCAGATATCTTTCCAAGACATTTACAAAGGCGGTTACCAAAAATTTCTGCTCCACTATAACGTTTGAGCTCTAGATTAGTGAAAAAAGTTTCCTTAGAGCTGCAACACGAAGCATTCGCTTAACCCTATTTGAGACCCTCTGTCCTCACTCTTCTATTTATTATTGGTGAAAGTGGTGATTTATATTAATGGATTACTGTCGGGTTTCGTGGATATTTTGTTCTTCTGCACATTAACTATTCGGGGTACGCAGTACTTACTAGTGCTGTATTCCAAATCATCTCAAGCAGGTGTTTCGCTGCCACTGCTTAATTAATTAAAGAATTTAAGAAATGCTGTTTAAGAAATGCCTTAACCCATGTGTAAATTTTGGGAATCCGTGAAATTTCACGATTTACTCGGATTAGTATTATAAAGTAGAAAATTCAGAAAATGTTTATCAAAATAGGCTCTAACATAAGAAGTCACCAACACAAAATTGAGTGAATGGGATTATCTAAGAGATATGAAGTCATTAATATTTAAGCATGCAGAACTCTTCCTTTGTCACTATATGAAGCTGAAAGATATTTAAGACCATTTGTACCTCGTTGAAAGTTGCATTACATCATTTCGATGACAACATTTTTTAATATTCAGAGTTTGGAATGTAACGTGTTTAGGATTTCTATATTTTATCTTATAATAGCTTGTTTCCACACAGTATTTCGGTACAGCTATGGATTTTTCAGCATGTAATATCGGTAGCCAAAATTTAGCAGGCCGACCGTTGATATCAGGTGTGCGTTGGCCGAAGATCGAACCGCGGGACATGTGCATAGTCGGCGAGCGTCCTAACCACTGTTCCACCGATGCACTGTCTTCTAACATGTAAAACTGTTCCGCATTATCATTAATCTAATGACTGGTGATCATCAGAATCACACAAACGTAATAAAAGCAAACTGCATATTGTAAACCGTATTACCTTGAAACTAGCGTTATAATGTTTACCTACTGAATCTCAATTGGATGTTTATTTCGAAATATTTTGAAATGAAGGTCGTTGGGGTTTTGATGAGTGACGCGAAGGTGCGCAGCATTGGGCTAGATTATCTTCTGAACTCAGAGAGGTAACTAAATATCTGTCATTTTATTTGAGCTCTAGGGATGCTCTTCAGTTCAAAAAGGTTATTGTATTTTCCCTTTAAAATTTTTAAATTTTAATGCCTTTAGATAGATCCATTAATAGACATATCAGAACAAGGACAGTTCGACGTAATCTTACACAAAATACCTGAATTTTTGAGGTGTGATACCAGCATACTAGGCAGACAAATAGTGGAAAATTTCACAGTAAGTTGTTCACTTTTAATTTTGCTCAGAACTACATAGAAACTAACCCACATATAATCTGCATTGATCCACCACATTCCCTTAAGCGCTTGCTGACACGGTTTGATCAGTTTCGTTTACTGAAAGTTATTTTAGATGCACTAAACATAAGTAAGTACTGTGAATCATGCCTGTCATATTGAAAATTATTTTTATTTATTCTGAACTGATATTTTAGACATGTAGCATCTTTAATAAATTTCAATAGCGTTGATAAAAGACTCTGCTTATCTTGAGTATTTTGTATTTTCTGAGCATCTGTTGAAAAATATGATCACACATTTCATCGCAATAAATTATTTCGCTCCGATCTGTGTGAAAAATAAAAAGATGCCTTGACATCTTTCTTAGGAAGGGTGTAATCATTCTTCAGCAGCGGCTAAAACTCTTCTTATGGTATCCGTTTTCGACGTGTATTCCAGTTTATATTTTATCGTCATCTATTTTATCAGCTGTACAGTTGAATGAACATTCAACCAAAAATCTTTTATATTGTAACAAACACAAACATTAAACAGTTTTAGTAATACCTTGTCGACGTGAACTTCTGATAAAACGATTGTCTTATCTAACCATCTTGTCTCAGACCCAATAGTATGTCTAACTATGCAAATTGATGATACTTTTCTTTCTGAGATATACGGATAATGTGATTTCGAACAGAAATTTTTCTGCCAAGAAGCAAAATGAATTATTAACATGGGCCGTAAAAGTGATATCAAACAACACTCAAGACCATATTTGAATAACTGCTAAGGCCCTCCCATACTTTAACATCAGTTTTTAATATGGTTGTGTGGGTTAACTCTCCCAAGACGACTCTAATAGACCAAGTCACACCACTGCAGAGAATTAGTGTGTTTTTTAACCTAGCTTTAATTTTTTTTTCCTTTGAAATGTAGCGCCAATATGATTTAAGTATTCTATCACACCTAGTAAATTTTGTATTCTGTAAATGTTCGGTTTATTGGAAGGCATCATTTCTATTACTTTGAGTTTAATTTCCATATCCTTTTAGATAACCGAATATTTGTTCCGAACTTCTGTATCTTATCGCAAAATGATCCAACCACATTGCTTAATGCTGATATTTCTTATCCCATAAGTAAGTGGTGCTTTCTATGTTCATAAAACACAAAATAATCGAGCAAAGAATATTCTTTTCGATAAATTCCTCTTCCGGCTCTACAGTTATATATATGTTTATGTACACAAAATATTTTAAATTAGTAGTTAATAACAATATTAGTGTTTTTTTAAATAATATCGATTTGTAAAGTATGATCAATGCAATTACAGTTCATTAAAGATGCTTAAATAATAATAATAAAGATATAATAGCGAATAGAATATCAACTGAAATTAGGGAAATTCCACAAAAATTCCGGATTATTCAAACCTGGATGGCCAAGGTAGTGATAATGTCTGAACTAACTTCTTTTGGATACATGAATTAGGCTTGTTAATACGGATCCCCACAGCCTCAGCAATATTTAGTAATCGAACTCTTAAAGCAAAATTGAGATTCATAGGTATGCGGTAAATGACTCTGAAAGCATGATTAACGTCAGTCTTGTGTTCCGTCTGCACAAGGTGAGACAGAATAGCGCTGCGAATAGATTTTGTTTGTCCTTTGCTTAACCAGGCAGGGTGATGTTCGGAAATTCGACGAGAAACACGCCTAATTGTACGGCCTATGTAACTAGCTCCACAGGAGCAGTCAAATTTGTACATACACATAGTGCTATTACTAGTGTTGGTCTACCCTCTCAATAAGGCCAGTCTGGGTGATTACACGAAAAATTCATGGAGAAGTCCTATATAGATATGACGGCGAAGATTTGTAGCTCAACAACCACATCAAAAGTCATATCCTAACCGTTTAGATTTCTCCCTGATTAATCAGCAGGCTAAATTTTTACTGGTAGTCATAACTGCTGTATATTACAATAGTCTAGACATATGTCCCTCAATGTCAGACTTGGTTGCAAATATTGACATGTTAATAAGATCACTATTAAATAGTGTGTTTAGATTCTAGCTTGGCGAGGTGTATTGGGAAGTAGAATTATCAACACTTCTGGACACAAGTTCATATTTCTTCATATCGTCTGGCGGAAGAATGTGTATTCAGCTAGAATACAGTAAACCGGAAAATGTTTTCATATAACCGTATCCCAGCCATTATATCTGAGGACCGGTAATTATGCACATTCGCACAGGCTGAAATAAGTGGATTGAGATTCGAAATTAGGAATTTTTACTAAATATTATTTCAGAAGTTCGAAAAAGCACTCAAAGATGACAATGAAACATCTGCTGACAAGTCGTTAGAACTCCTATCATACGTTTCAGTCGGGTTTTTTCGACAAGCACTCATCAGCCATTGAAATGGAAGAAATCGGCAATATATTTAGTCAGTTTGTCCCACTAAAGTTGGTTGCTTTTGTGCTTGTAAATAGCTGGTTTGATTGAATATGTCGTAATATGAATTTAAGCGCGATTAATAACATTTTTACTGTTTTCAATTTTTGAATTATATTGGGATGAAGTGAATCTTTGGTTTACCTCAGTTTAACTGGTCTTATAGAGTTCAATGTGTACTATTCTCCAACCCTAATTATCAATTAGTTATAGAAACAGCTTTAATTCATCATAAATTTCAGTTTCTACTTTTGCTTACAGTTTGCAAGTCATTAATGGCCCACGGAGAAGACAGTGTACACAAGGTATGCTTCTTTTTCTTTACGTTATATTATCAAACATTGCAGTTTCTTCGTGAGTTTCTGTTAATTCACACTTTCGGTTCAGTCTTCATGGCTTAGTGTAGTGTTTTATGTGTACTAGCCTACTTACATAATTTAAGGACTTGTGGGAAAACATACTTAACCCACTACCCTGCAGTTTTGAGTAAAATCTAGTTGTTTTATTAGCTTATTTACTGGTTTATTTTTGGTGTACTCCTTTGGAATCACACTTAATGCACGTGAAAAATCACTTTTCGGCCTCAATTGTGTCGCAATTTTCAAAATGATTTTGTTTCTAGCAAATCAATACTGGTATAGATAACTTAAAAGGAACTTTATCGTAATGGCTTGGAGGATGCTATTCGGATGAATTAGCTTAGTGTATCTTTTAATTTACATAAAAAAGTCATAAAAATCTTTATTGGACGCTCGTTTTCTGAAGTAATCGATCCCACCCCCCTTTAAGTAGTAAATTTATTATTTGAATTGTTGCTACGAAGAAGGATACTTTAGACTGGTTGTGCTAGGTGGGCAGGGCAATTTTGTGTCATACTTCAGTCTGTAGTACAGTACAGGTCAATAAACACTGTATACAGAAAGAGTTAGCGAATTCAAACCAGGCATTGAATTGTGTCAAATACTTCACGCGCGCTTTGTCGTTACTTTGGATTGCACAGTAGTACACAATAATGACCTCAGGAATTCATATCTGATGATGAATGTACTAGTGTTTCACCTAACTGCTTAGGCATCTACGGCATTGAAACCACATAATTCAAGTTGACTGAAAGTATGTTAACACTATTAATCTACGATTTCTTTTAGATTACTAATCTCATCTCTTTTGTGTAATAATCAACATAATTGAGAATAACACCTACTCATGAGTTATACTAAAAAGATGTAATTAATCTACGATAGGTAGACAGTTCAGCCATTTGGATAGCTTATAAAATGTTATTGTACACTTTCATTAACTTGTTACCATTCATTTATATATATTCACTACATGTCTACTTCTGTGTTAATCCAAGACATCTTTTCCTATTTATATTTTGATATTTTATATATTTAGATGGCTGTGGTTTTCAACAACTCAGGTTTAGATTCACTTACATATCCTGTATTTGCTCAACAATTTATCAAACACACTGGGAAAGTATTGAAATTATTTGTAATTGGTGATCACACTTGTGTAACTGAGGTTCCTTCTATCAAAAACCATAATAAATCTAGTAGGTTGAATTGTTTTCCAACTAATCATTATCAGTCAGTACAGTTATGCGTGTTTTGTTGATTTCAGCTTGGGTTGTTAACTCAGTCACATGTGTGTGTGCTTGGTTTGAATACTTTTTGGTTTCCTGAAGGAAACTGTGGTGATGAACTCACACATCATCGTGTGTAATTTTCAAAGAATGGATTTGAGTCGTTGTTTTTATTTTTATTATTATTTTTTGCTTTACATTGTCTGAAGTTGAAATCGGATTGTGAGGGCGATTGTTACTTCCCGGCTGCCCACACCGTGGAAGTTGGTTGAGTGACCTCAGAGCCCATGGGACAACTGCTTGAGGCCGGTCACACACGGCCTGTTTTTGTTTGTTGTTTTTCATTTGGTGTGTCTCAGTAGCGTATTTATCACTTCTGCCCTGTGACACGGCAGCAGAAAGCGCGGTCGTTGTTAATCTGGGCCCCGACCGATCCGGCATGAGATTTTGTGATTTATTTGAAGTCATAGGATTGGATTGGGTAACTGCTTTTACTCTAACCGCTATCCAAACAACCTTTCTGGCATGGTAGGACCTGCAGGAACATAAGTTCCAGCCAGTATAGCTTGTTGGGTCATTGCGGTGTTCAAGCCCGACCACCACGTCAACTCCAAGCTTAGTGATAGGGAGTGAAGTGATAGAACATGTTGACCACTTCACCTATTTAGGAAGTTGTATCAGCACCAACGGATTGATTGGTGACGAAATCACAGCACGGATCCAGAAAGCTAGGGCTGCCTTCGCTAACTTACACCGTCTCTGGCGTAGGCGTGACATCCGACTGTCAACCAAGGGACGTGTATACTGCTCAGCAGTTCGCTCCGTCCTTCTCTATGGCAGTGAGACGTGGCCATTGAGAGCGGAAGACATGAAGAGGTTGTCTGTTTTTGACCACAGATGTTTACGATCTCTTTCTCGCGTTAGGTGGTATAATAAGGTAAGTAATGTTGACGTTAGGCGTAGAGTGTTGGGCAAAGAGGGAAAATCAATCGAAGAGGCTATAAAGTTACATAGATTGAGATGGTTAGGTCACGTGCTGCGCATGCCTAGCCATCGCCTCCCCCGACGGGCGTTACTAGCTGATATGGGTGCAGGTTGGAAAAGAGTAAGTGGTGGCCAAACAAAAACGTGGCATCAATCAATCCATGAAATCCTTGACAGTTAAACTGAGTCAGGTAGGGAGATGCAGACTTCCGGGTTGGGGCCCTCGGGACTCTAAGAATCAATGGTTGGAGACACTAGGTGACATGGATCAAAATCGTTGTCAATGGCTTACGCAGATGTATTCAGTCTCTTTAACCTTTCATATTCCTTTCTATCATTACTCATCCTGTTTCACTCTTATACTTGTCAGAACTCTATTGATTCCCTTCGCTCATTTTCTTGTCTACCTTTGTGTGCTATTTGGAATGTGGCAACTGGAACTGCTGCACTTCGGTGCCAAGTTCTATGTTGGATCCAGCAGCAGCAGAAGTTGAAATCGATAATCTATGATAGTTAATTTTTATTTTTAAAGAGGATTTCATCTAAAACTAAACATTAATTACTTCAGAATTCAAATGGTGTTGTGATCTGGGTTTGCTTTTCAACTTTATTTACCATTATATTGTGATAAGGTCAGTCTGTTAAATAAAGACGATCTCACATGGTTTATTCAGTAGCGTGTTACACAGTATTTATATATAAACTTGAACTTCTAACAGCCATGAGGATCTACCTTTGTCAAATTAAGCTCTATGTAATGAATACGTACTTGAGAAATTAGTTAATTGAATAAGATTGACTTTCTATATCTGTCATGAAAACAAAATTATCGTGTTGCTTAAATTAAGGACCATATTGCACATTTAATCCAGAGATTTCAACGAATTTGTGGAAATAGACAGTTACACTGAATCAACCATGAATTAAGTGGTAAATCTGATCATTTTCGAAAGTGTTTGATGCATATTACAAGTTCGGGATTCTTCAGGAGTACGCACCCATCACTACCGTTCGAACCCAGGACCTTCTGGTCACAAGGCAAACTCGTAGACCATTAAGCCACTGGGACCCGATCCATTGACCAGCTCATGAATTCCAACTTCTGCCAATTCACGACATAGTGTGACCACGAGAGTGTCATCGCTGGTTAGTATATGTCCTCACACCCGACCTGCTGTAGCCTACTGGTCATGATTTCCCACTAGAACCCGGTGGGTGCCTACTGGTGAAGAGCCCTAAACTAGGACGAAACAGTTTTCCGGTACTCTCTGCTTGTTTTTCGATGGTTCTCTAACCGATGTCAGCTCATGATGAAATCTTGTAACCAATCAATCAAATGCCTGCAAACTAATGCTTGAATATTAGGAATTTGTGTTAAATTTATTAGTTTAAGACATTATTCTCAAATACAAGTGATTTGATATCTTATAGTGGTAAGACCTAAACAAAAGTCTTTCCATACGTATACATTAGTACGGTGCGTCATCTGAATAACAATTTTATACTTCTTCCCTGTAAAGATTAATTAAGTTTTAGTGCACCTTTCACAGCATCAAATAAACCCAGGGCTAAAATAAATAGGTCAAAATAAGTAAAAAACTAATTAACTAAACTTCCAGTTAGCTTGCAGATTCTTCAAGTGTTTTCAGTTTTGTTGTGACAGGTACACTCCATTATGGACAAAATTTTATTTTGATAAAGTCACACAGTGTTATACAGTAATATTTACCGATGACGTAACTCAGAGACAAGCTCTGTATGCTAAAGGACCTGGTAGACTCAATTAAACGAAATAATATAATTTGCAAAATATCTTGCAATGACTGTGAGTTAGGTCAAACTAGTAGATCGGGGGTAGTCAGATTGTCGGAACATAAGAATTCGGCTAAGGTAACAGCAAGTGACCCCGAGAAGATAAGTAATTAAGAGAAAACCTCAGCAATAACACTGTATGCATTAATACACAACCACACATTAGGGTGAGACAGAGTCGAAGTTCTAAGAAGGTAGGTAGATGGAAATAGAGAGAGATTGGTTACTGAATCTTGGTTCATCGAGTCTACTACCCAACACATGCAACAGAAGTGACTCAACGCAAATACCGGAGATAAGGGAGGTATTATTACCAGTCAAATCAGAGAATAACAAATAATGTTAAAATGTATTTCAATTCACATTATAACATTTTGACAAGTTATTTATTTTACTATAAAAACATCTTATTTCCCATCCTATTGTATTTTATTAGCGACACTAATATTATTCCCGAATGTACTTTATCTTCCTTTCTGTTTCATGCAAGTCTTATACTGATTTTATTCAAATGTCTAATCAATTTTTACTAATGTAGATAAATGAAGCAAGAAAGTTATGTTAGTACCTTGATATGATTATGAGCAATAAATTGCGCTCGAAACGTCATCAATAAATATGACTGTACAGCACTGTGTAACTTTATCAGAATAAAATTTTATCCATAATGGAATTATGCCTCTACCACAGTGCCCAGGTTTGACAGGTACACATCTAACCAAACTCGGAGTCCATTTCACACTCCTCCCTTGAGCTATAAACATTCACAGACACTTAGTTCGTAGTTAATAATAATAATATACTTTATTCCAAAAACAGTACTTGTGATACAGAATGGAATTTTCAGCATTGATCACAATATTGCATCTAATTTCCTCAAATTATAAATAAAATTAATCACACAGAAAATTTTTCTACATTTACAATAGGGTTAATATAAAAAAAATTAAAAATAAAAAACATGCAGCGTATAAAATGGAAATAATAATAATGATAGCAGCTAAGGTAATGATAATAATACAAGTGGAAATTGCCGTGGGCTTGTCGATGCGGTATACAAATCCTTGCATGATTAAAAATATTGAATATGATGTTCTCTTTACATGATATGGTGAGGGGAAAAACAAAGATTACAGCAGTCATAGAGATAAGTTGGTGTTTGCAGTTATGAAAGTGAAAACAAAGAATCAACAGGACCATAAATATAATAGAAATCATAAAAGTAAAACTTGAGGTATATAAGGATGGATGGAGGAGATTGTTTATTTACTAGATGAAAAAAGGTTAGTCAATTCTTGCCTGACGCTATTTTCATCACATAAAATACGTGCCAAGTTTAGCTACAGTAGCGGGATAAGTCCTCAAATATTCTCCGCAAATAACCTTAACATTTTTATATATTGTTCATCCTATCATATTTCTAAATAACTGGGTCTTTTTGATTTGTGTTTTGCTATCAGTATTTGCTGAGGTCAAGTGGTGTACTGACTAATTAGGTAATTAGGCGATATCGAATTTAGTAAGGCTGCTGGTACAGTGTAGCATATCATCAGTACAGTTCGTTTCTTAAGCGGTCGGGAATTTTATGTTAATTTTACAATTGAACTATCTCAAATTACTTGCATATGACAATGATGCCTTAAACAATAAAAGTGTACGCAAATTCTGAACTTGGTATATATATATATATATATATATATATATATATATATATGTACAAGATTTAGAGAACACGAAATCAAGTGAATCCGCTTCATTCTACGATATTTACTGTTATTCCTTTACCAAAACTTATAAAAAGAACTAATCATGAAAGACTTTATTACTAAGACAGGTAAAACGTTCACTACCATATTAATATTCAACTCCACGAATTATTGGTTACAGGATTTCGTCATAAGCTGACATTGATTAGAGGACCATTGGAAAACCTGGGAGTACTGGACAACTGTAACCAGTCAATCAAACCCCTACAAACCAACACTTGAATATCCGCAAATTATTTTTATCATAGATGTTATTTATACTTGTTGCTGTATGGTTTAATTCTATTTAAACATTGAAAAGTTTGGCAAATATCCCTACTAGTTAGAAGTTTAAACAAACTTATATAAACGTTAATGTCAATTAGCGACTGGTAACTATCAGTGAAATCCAGAGTGCTCATCTCATCG